GCAATAAATGGCTTGAGAGGCGAGCCTCGCAGACACTCCATATTGACGTGTCCTAAGTACGGCTCCTGACTACTCTCTCAGTCATAGTTTAAAGGACTTGTAGGGAAACTTACCCCTTCCTTTGTTCCGGATGCTTCCATTTGTCAGTCAGATACTGGAATCGCATAACAAAACCCTTTAGGTAAGTTATGAATAATAAAAAAAAGCCCTAGTGTCCCAAGGAAAATTCTCGATTCAGGCAGAGACAACCTGTGTTTCCAAATGGACACAGATTTTGTTTTGACATTCACTCGGGGAAGCCGGGAGGGGGCGGGAAAGTCACAGGTGGATTAATGACTAGCAACAGTGTCTCTCATTTCATGCCATCTTCTCCCTGTTTTTTCTCATGTTGATGTATTTGGGTTTGCATTTTAAACATGCTCAGGCTAAAAGTGCTGTGCACCTTAACTTCACCGTCTATTACTTTATCACACTTTCTTAGACACATTTTAGGCCACACACCTTTAAAAAGTGAACAGGCTTTGACTCTGATGCAGGCAGCTGAAGACCAGAAGCTGACTATGATACCTATTATAATGCCACGTAGCTTTTTTTCAAATCTGATTCTTTGACTGTAAGTGGCTTGCTCCATGTCATGAGGATTTTGGTCACTATAATGACATCTGACAGAATCCCAACCTGGTTTAGTAAATGGGTTTTTTTTTGTTTGGTTGGGGTTTTTTTGCATGCATCAGCACTGCAATTTGCATCTTTTGTTGTAACATTTTAAAAAGGATACAGTTACCAGCAGCAGACTCAGACTGCAGCCTGCCAGAACATTTCATTTGTACTAAATAAAAATGCAAGTGTTACTCTGTCCAAGAAACTGTGCGTTTTCTATATATCCAAACAAATCCAATCAGCTTCATATATTAGAAACTTTAATATGTTGTTTTTTCTCATTGTTTATGACCAGAGCCTATTTGCATACACCTTGCATCTAATAATTATTCTAGTGATTCTGACCTAAAGTACAACATCTAAAATTCACTGCTACATCCTGGACCACCTTCTCAGATCTTCCCCTCCTCTCATGCCTCCAGAGTCCCCCCACCTCTCCTCGGTATTCCCCTTCTAGAAATTTTCATCTATATTCCACCACTCTTCTTCCAGCAAAGTGCCACTTGCCAGTTTCAATCCCTTTAATATTCCCACTTTCTCCTCTCACATTCGAGCATCTTCCATCTTTGCTCTCCCACTCTCAGATACCTCTTCAGTCTTATTTCATCTTATTTCATCTTCATCCCTCCTCTCCCTCAGATTGCTTTCCCCAAGGAACCCCCAACTCTGCTGTCCAAGTCTCTTTCCCCTGCCACTCAATTTCTACCTCCCTTTCCCTTTTGCTCTCTTCTACTATTCGCCCCTCTGTTCTCTGCCTCCATTCCACCCCCCACTCCCGTTTTCTCCTGAGGGCCATCCCTCTGGCTCTGCTTCTTTTTCACTATCTGTCTCAAAAAAAAGTTTTCCCCACCCTCTCTTCCTTTCTCTTCCTCCAATCCCCTTTTGTCCCTCTCCTCAGACCAATTTATTTTCATTTTCACTATTTTAGGACTAGTTCCACTCACACCCACACCCAAACAAGAGACAATCTGGACCTATTTCTCCCTCATCTCTGCTCCCCAAAATTCCTTCCAGCTTTGGTCCCACCTCTAGTTCTTCAAACTCCTGCCATCCACAACACCACTCTCCCCAAGCCCTTGCTCAGGATTGCTTACCAACTTGTGTCCCCTCCAGATTTCCTCATCCCCCATTCCCAAAATTTCATCATTCTCCTCTTCCAGAAGTCTCCTCACCATCAGACTTTGACTTGTCTCCCACCTGGCAGTTCCTCACTTCTTGAATTCCTTCCCTCTCCAAGCTTGTCCCAATAACTGCTGCCCTCTTACCCTCAACCCCTGCACCGTACTGCTCCTCTCTGAGTTTCTCCCTGCCCCAGCCCTTTCCCATCTCTCCCAAATCCACCCCTTTGCACTCCTCCAAACCTACCCTTCCAAAGACCCAGGGTCCTCCCTTACCAGTGGTGAAGCAGGAGCTACTGCAGGTGAACTGGCAGAAGACCAAAGGCCAAGTGGCTCCCTGCCAACCTGCCAGCAAAAGCACTCCAGAAAAGGAAAAGGTGGGCCAACTCCAGACATGAGTGTTTCCTGTTCACCCACTAGGATAGAGCATCTCTGGTGGCAAGAGGCTGCACTACAACTGTCTCTTCCCAGCTGATGCTTTTTGCATGGCTTGAATTACTGAGCTAGATATAAAGGCTGCTTTTTAACCAACTTGCTTATCACCTAACCATGCCCTGGATAACTGTAGTGACACTGTTGCTACAGTATGAGCTACACTGATTTATCTGATGGCAAAAGGCAAATACAACATATGCTAAAAACAAACTAAAACAACTTACTGTTACTAAAACAACTTGCTGATTTCAGACTTTAGAATTTTTGCAGAACATACATTGTATTTCCTATAACAACCATGTCTCATATTTTGTATTATATTGTGGGAGTTTATTAATTCTGGGATCTGTAAAATAATGAGAATACTGTAATGGTTCGGGTTTTTTTAATTCGTGCCCCAATCCTGTTGCTACTGAAAATAAAGGGAATTTTGCCAATGACTTTGCCGGAAAAGAAGGAACTTTCTTAAAAACAAGATAAGATACTGATATTTTTGATTTTTATGAGTCTTTTTGGCTTCTTGGCTGTTCTTTACATAAGAAAATAAGAATTGCCATTTCCTAGGTCTGATGATAGGTCCATCTTGCCCAGTATCCTGTGTCACACAGGGGCAGAGGGTAGATACTGAAAAAGAGAGTGAACAGGGTATATGACCAGGGTTTTTCCCCTGTTCCTCTCCCTCTTGTAGACTCCAGCATTTAAGGTCCAGGAAGTTTCAATTCAGAAGCTGTATCCTTAACTCCCATGGTCAATAGCTACTGACGCACCTTTTCTCCAGGACTTTGACTAATCTCTTTTTGAATCTGGCTAAACTGTTAGCTTCCACACCATCTTGTAGCAATGAGTTCTGCACACAAATTATGTGAAGAATTTGCTTGTATTAGTTTTAAATTTACTATCTACTGGTTTCTTTTTTGTGTCCTAGTTCTTACAGTTTCATAGTTTCTAGGGTCGGAAGGGACCTGAGCAGATCATCTAGTCCGACCCCCTGCCATGGCAGGAAAGAGTACTGGGGTCAAATGACCCCAGCAAGGTGTACATCTAACGTCCTCGTAAAGACCCCCAGGGTAGGAGCCAGCACCACTTCTCTTGGAAGTTGGTTCCAGATCCTAGCCGCCCTGACCGTGAAGTAGCGCTTCCTGATATCTAGCCTAAATCTACCCTCTGCCAGCTTGTGACCGTTATTCCTGGTCACTCCTGG